ATGGATGAGAGTGGTTAGTGGGTGGGCTGGAGGCAGGTGGGATGTGCTGTGGTCCTGTCTCGCTCTTTCTGCCATGGCTTGGGGAAGGGTGAGAGGGCTCTAGTTAGGCGAGTCCTCACCCCAGGGAAAAGAAGCATGGATGAGAAACCTACACTTACAGATCGGGATTCACTGTGGCCAGCAGGGTAGGTAAGGGGTAAGCACTGTGTCCAGGGTCAAGATGCCCTGAACTCTCGCTCATGCATAAATTCACTCACTCACTTCCTGATTCAACATATCATTTGGGTGCAGGGTGGGATGCAGTGTTGTGTGTGTGTTTTACAATTTACACCACAGGCTCCTGTCACCAAGGAGCTTATGGTGTAAATTAAAAGCAGGGGAGAAAAGACGTGTCTACAGACAACTCCAATACAAGCAAGAGGTGAAAAGTGTCTCCAGAGAGATAGAAATAAAGTGCTAAGGGAATTCAGAGGAGGGAGATGATGTTGAATTAGGGGGAAGGCGCCAAGGAGGGGCTGTCTGGGAAGGTTCTGGGTGGAGGCAGCACCATGCTCTCCTTAAATTCTAGCCAGACTGGACACAGAGTGACGGTGGAGTGGCATTCCAGGCAGCACGAATGGGGGATGGGAGAGAGCATGAGTTTAGGGGTCAAAAGGATCCAGGTTCAAATCCTGAGCAAGTCATTTCAGCCTTTCTGCACTTTAGGTTGTGGGAGTGAGAGTATAAAGGATGGAGAAATAGAACCTTCCTGGCCTGCCTTCCAGGGCTGCCAGGAAGCGCAAATGCAGTAGTTTATGTGAAAGTAGTTGGCAAACTGTAAAGTGCTCTAAACGCACAGGGGCTGTTTTTAATATTAAGGCATTAATTGACCCAGTAACAAAACTCCTAGATAAGAACACAGTAATGACCGAACCTGGACGGGCTAATGAGCTGTTCAGCCCAGAGCTCTCTCTGACCCACCTGTCCAGGGTCTGAGGGAGTTGTGGCTGATCTCTGTGACACTTCTATCCCTGGAAGGTTAAGGATAGCCCTAAACACCACTAGCTTTTCTAAAACACCCACTATTGTCTGTCATTGTATCTAAACTCTGTCTGTCTGTCTGTCTATCTATTCATCCATCCACCTATCACCACCCCCCATCAATCCATCCATCCATACACTGACCCATCCATCCATTCACTCACCAACCCATTCACCTATTTATCCATCCATTCATTAATCCATTAACCCCCACCCCATCAATCTATCCAGCCATGCACTCATCCATCCATCTAGTAAACCTATAATGAGTCTCTCCATGGCTGGATACTCTGTTCTCTGTACAGAAAAGACATTAGACCCCTTCTCTGTGCTCAAGAAGTCCACAGCTTAGTGGGAAAGACAACCAAATAAACCACATACCATCGCTTTTCGCTTTTCTTAAACCCATTTTCAGTCAGTTCTATGTTTTGGGGATAACAAGTTCCACAGACCACAGATTATGGGCTTTTAAAGTTGGGTGATCTTAGAAATCATCTGTACTATCTCACTCATTTTATTGATGGGGAAATTGTGGTTATGATTTGTTGTGGAAAGTACTATGACTTCCTCTTATTTGCCTCCCAGTGACCTCTCCAGAATTTCAAGTTCAGCTCAGTTCCATTAATCTTTATTAAGCGTCTGTTATATGCTAGTCTCTGTGCAAGAGCTGCGGATCCAGCAGTGGAGAAGACATCATTCCTGCCCTCAAAGAGGTCATAGTCTAGGGGGAAGAGACACACCAAGAGATAACAGCTACACTGCTTGATAAAGACAGGGATAGAGGTGAACACAGCACACTGAAAGTACAGAAGAAGGGCCCCTGATCTGGATTTGGGGAGCTTGGGGGAGGCTTCCCAGAAAGAAGACCTATGAGCCATGTCTTGAAGGGCAAAAAGCGATGTATTTGATGAAGATGTATGGGAAGGGCATGCCAAGCAGAAGGAACAGCATGAGCAAAGGCATGGAGGTATAAAATAGCATGGCTTATTGGAGGAAATATGAGAAGCTGGTGGTGTTGAGGCTTAAAGAGGGAAGTGGTGAGGAATGAATGTGGGAAGGAGGACGGGGCACAGTGACAGCCTCACCTGACGTAGAGCTGGCAGGGCCAAAGGCCACTTTTACTTTACTGGATTTGGTGAGCATGTCCTTGTTCACTTTCCCTGGTACAGCCCTCTACCACAGCTCCTTGGCCTTCATCTTTACAGACCTAAGAATTCTTATTTATGGGAACGAAGAACCTATCCTTCAAGCTGTGGATTTGGACATGCAGGAAAAAGTCAGCCCTGACTGGCAGTGTTGGCCGATTCCTGTCGTGTAAGTACTCCCCCATCACTGATTTCAGGCTAGCGATGCGCCATCACTGGTTGTGGAGTTGGGAAGAGGGATGTACCTTTGACTTTTACAAGCCAGTACTGGCCAGCTCCAGCACACCAGCTTCGGGGCTGCATGCCCATTCTGGTGAGATAGCCTACTCACACTGACTTGCATGATGTAGGGACCTTATCACTCCCATTTTGTAGAGTGGGAAGCTGAGATTCAGAAGGTCACATAGCCACTGCACGGCAGAGAGGAGCTCCAGCCTAGGCTGTCTGACTCTAGGGCCCAAGCTCTAATCGAGACACTGTGCTCCTCCCATTCCAACAGGGCGGCTGTACTGAGAGGCGTGAGCTGCGGCAGTGGCATCAGCTAAGCCCCAGCCCATTTCCAGCTGAATCTTCAACTGACCTTTGGCTCTGGTACAGTTTAGTACCTGCCCCCCCCAACCCATAGCTGTTTCTCATCCCCATCCATGACAGCAGGACATACTCTAACAGCCCCCATTGGATCCAGCCGGCACAGGGAGGAGATCCGGAGGCAGGAGGCTGGCCCAGAAAGGTCAACTGAGGCAGAAGACAGGTCATGGCAGTGGAGTGGGCACAGAAATGCCCCGACCTGGAGTCTGTCCTTAAAAATTGATTTTCTGCAGCCCAGATGCTGTCTCCATCAGTGAGAAGCAACACTAACAGCACATTTCTGCTACTAACAAGATAGTAATGATAACTTATTAGGAAATCATTAAGTCTAAGTATGTTATCCAAAGCCTTGAACCAAACAGGTGGCTGTGTTTGGGGATGGAAGGAGAGAAACCAGGAAGACAGGAGGGAAGGGGAGGGAAGGCAGGCATGCTAGAGGGAGTGAGGTGGGAGAGGTACCAGAGGGCTGGAATGGTCATGGGAAAACACGTGAGACCCTGGGCTTGTGTCTGAGCCCCAGCCCTATGACCTGGAGGGGGCATGACCATGTCATTGATAATATAATAACAATAATCAAGATTAGTGTGTGTAATTATAATTATTCAGGTTTCTGGGGCTGTGGCTTATTTTACAAGTAATATTTAGCTCTCTATCATCAGGGCTGATAGGGGATTGGAGAGGTGAGAACTGATGTATGGAAGGTACTCTGGGCTCCTTTGATGGGAGCTCTGCTCCTTGTCCCAACCCCCTCCCCGACCTGGCCACTTGCCACTCACCATTCAGGAGAACTGCTTTAGAATCTCACTCTGTGTGTGTGTGTGTGTGTGTGTGTGTGTGTGTGTGTGTCTCCT